AAAAAGAAACCAAATATACAATTTCCCTCAGTCTGACAGAGACAAAGAATAACAAGGAAAAAGGGAAACTCTTACCGCTGTTTTGAGAAATGTTGACATCAACACGAAGCTCTCGCACTGTGCTGCCTGAAAAGCTAGCCATGCAACTGTAGGTGGCCAAGTCTCTGAATTTCATGTCCACAATCTCCAGACTGCTGGTGCCAGGTGCCATGTCTGGGTCACTGCGCAGTAAAATCAGACTATCTGAGTTGAAGACTGGTGCCCCGTTCTTGTACCAGGTGTAGTTGACCTTGTCCTGGGGGGTGGCATCAACATGGCATGAGAGCTTAAGGTCACGACCCATTTGAATGGTTTCACTGTCCTTGTTAGAGTCTGGTGTAATTTGGAAGGTGAGGTTGCTCATTGCTTTTTGTGGTGGTACAGAGGGAAAAAAGAAGAAAGAAGAAAATTTAAATATTTGTTACAATATAAAGGCATTTGGTACAAAATGTACTAAAAAAAATACAAAATTAAAATAATAATACAAAAAAAATTAATAAAAGGGATAAGCATGACTAGGCATCACTGGCAAGGTCTGTCTTTTTTTCCCACTACTACAGTTGCTAAATGTTCTTATTTATCTTTTAATTTCCACTTGGTCTTTACTTAATTTAGAGTTTCTCTGTAGTTAAACTATATATATAGTCCCTAGGAAAACAAAAAAGCACAACCCAAGGACATACATTAATTTTTAGCACATTTAATCAAGGAGACACTGTAGAAAGAGTGCCCAGAGATACAGTGGGCATACCTCAACATAACCACATGAAAAAATTAGCTCATGCAACCATTTGTTCAACGAAAACATTAAGAGATGTAAAACGTAATCACATTTATGTAGTGCTTTTCTAATCTTACAAGTTGACCTAACGTGTCTGTCTTTGCAATTCTGTGTACTGTCAGAATCATACCAACTGTAAATCACGAGAGTTGGAAAATTGGTTTGGGGTTGCTTTGCTGCCTCATGAACTTTGCATCTTACAGTCATCACTTCCCTAATAAATTCTTTCTCATATTGAGCTGAAATTAAACTGGAAGTTGAAGTTGACCAAAGCAGAGTTATAATTAATGTAAAAGCCTTAATCTTCGTCTCGCACACCCTGACCGGAGAACAACAAATACCACTTTCATTTATTGTTCTTTTTCAACTGAGAGTTTTGATTTGACATATAAAACTATTTTTAGATAGCAAATGCTTCTTGACATGTATGTGAACATTTTTTGCATCCCCTTTATTCATTGACACACTTTACAAAGGAACCAAGTATTTGGTTGTTCAGATTTGCCAAAAGTCAAAAATTTCATAGGAAAGGCAAATTATTTGAACGGTTGTATTCCATTCCAGTACAGAATAGTAAAGTGTACTAATTAAAATTAAGAAAACAAACAGAAGAAAAACACATTCGTGAGATCAAAAAGAAGGAACTGATACTACTCAATAAAAAGAAACTAAACAGAAGAATGCAGGAGAAGAAGAATGGTTAATGCCCCCACCCCCAACACCACTAACAAAAGAAAAAAAGAAAAAAGAAAAAAATGAAATGGTAGCCTTGTACCAAAGGAAAGAGGAAATTAGAGAAGAAAGAAAGTGAGTGAGAGAGGAAGAATCAAATTGTGAAGGAAGCCAAGACAAAAGGAGCCAAATACAGAATAAAATAACAGGGGGGTAAGGAGGAGGGGGGAAACAAAATCAAGGACAAAGAGTAACTCTCACACTGTCACATTTAATTTTCAGTTTCAAAGGCTCCGTTTCCCCAACAGATTTCCATGTTGAATACAAAATAGCTCTCTGTTTCCCCACGAAGGGGAGAGACAGGCGGTAAGGAGGAGAGGAGAGCTTGATTTAAACTCTTCTGAGCTTGTTAACAAGATACTTGGGTGGAGCCATGGATATGAAGCAGTGACCATATGGCTAACATGAACTTGCAACTTTACCTGATTAATGTGAGTGCATGTGTGCATGTATACTCCTTAAATATTTGGATGCACTTGTCTACCTACCTGCCTGCAGACTTTTTCCTTTATGAACTCACTGACCGTAAATGTGTGTCTCTTTCAGCATCTTGCCACCTGCGCTGGTGTGACAGTGTGTTCAGGCCCATTAAGCTAACAGGAGAAGCCCATCTAACATACGCTCTCCACAGTGCTAACTAACAGAAGAGACTGTTGCTAATTGCTTCCACTCCAGTCTAACTAATTGGAGTGAATAAAGATGATTAAAGGGGCTAAAAATAGCCAGAGGGGAGAGAGAATGGAAGTATTCTGTATTCTAACCCGCTCATTCTGACAAGATTCACATCAGCTTCGTTAATGACAGATCAGCGGCTAGCTCCACACACTCGCATGCACGCGCAGACTCACAAATGTCAACGAATGAAGCTAACGAGGACTATACAGACACTTTGCATAAAGCAATTATCAGTTGTACGAGACTTCTCAATGGGAAAAGGATCCTGACTGTGCCTTTGTCAACTATTTTAACTACCCCCTGGCTAGCCAAAGAATTAAATGCAACATGATTTTTAGTTGTAAAATCAGTGAATGAGAAGCCTAAATTATGCAAAGATTTAACAATTATCATATGGGAATGTCACATTGCTGTATTTTTTTTAAATAATAATAATAAATACATGAGGACTGGACAATATTTAAAAAACACCAAAAGGCTCATTGACACATCCAGACTAATTCTGAATCTTTTAAACAGCAATTCCGATTGAAAAACAATCTTGATGCAATTGTGCAACTGGAGCTAGTTTATACCAAGGTTGTAAAAAACACAAATCTAGATTTTTTTTTTTTGCAAAAGCATCACCCCTTTTCACAGGTGCAAATACATTACTTACTTCTCACAACGAGGTTGACGTTCTTGCGTGCAGGGTTACCCACATTGTTGACTGCCGTGCAGTTGTAGAAGCCTGCATCCGCTGGTGTGACAGCTCTCAAAATCAGTGATTCTCCTCGAACTTGAGCACTGAGGGGAAGAGGCCCAGGGTAACGTGACCACGTCACAATGGGGAGAGGGAAACCTGCTGTGACCTCACAGGTTATGCGCACATCCTGGCCAGGATCCACCACCACTGTATCATTCACTGACAGTCGGATCATTGGTGGACCTGTGGCGCACAGACACACGGAAAGAAACAAACAAAAGTAGTTTAAATGGGAACAATACATGTTTTTTCAGCGAAAAAATTAAGTTGTGAATATTTCTATTATGAGCATTTTTAAGGTATGACTTTACTGTCTTTAAAAGTTTCTTCTGTCTGCAATTGTAATAGATAGTACGTATAAATATGTGCTTGTTTCAAGCTCACATTCGAGTTCAAGTTCACTTTATTTTGTCTTTTCAGCCATATTAAAATACACTGCAATGTAACTCTGTTTCACAGAGCCCAAGTGATGGGAAAACATTGCAAAATGTAAAAGCACTCAAAACAAGATGGAGCAGTACAATAAAAGAGACAGTGCAAGGTCATAAAGTGCAACCAATAGCTGAGTTAAAGGATACTAAAATAGTGAAAGACATAAAAAGAATAGACACGATACATGAAATGACATAAAACATTACCAACACCAGACTTAAAAATAGCAAGATAATCAACACATTAAAACATTACAGTTCCTGTATATCAGTGTCTGTTTGCTGTCTGGGTCTTAGCATGAGTCTTTGAATATATAGCTTTTCTCCGTACAAACTAATCAGTGTACCAAAGGTAATTCAGGTCCCTGTTCCGCTCTCATATCATCCCCTAGTCACTGCCTCCATTTCCTATGACTGACCTAACAGAAAAGTACAAGATGACCCGTAATGCTACTGCAAAAGAGGCTGAAAAATGCTGTTGGCACAGAAAGAAATCAATTGGACCCCAGCATGTTCCAAAGGAAAAAAAAAGTGGCAGAGGAGTGAGGATAGGGACACATACTACACGACGGGGAAAAACTAAGTGTAAAAGAGTAAAAGACAACAGAGTAAAAGCTGGGGCTAAAGTTGAAGAGGGGACAATATAAAAAATGTGATATTAACCACCTACAATGATGTTTGGAGACGTACATCCAAAGCGACAATGAAAACCGTGTAATGCACGTTGTGGTTTCCACATGCTATTTAGAATGCTGTCTGCACAAATATCAAATGGAAACATTAAGGCAAAGTTTAAGAGGCATATCCTATACCACTTTTTCATTTATTTTGTTTCATATTTATTTGATATTTTCAAATCAGTTGCAATAAATAAATATATTTTTTAAATTCAGCCATTCAGGTGGTTGCAAGCAGGTCAACGTTGGGAATTAAGAGTTATATAAAACCAGTAAATGGATATTTAGTCAATTTTGTGCACATAACAATTTTGGCTTCCTGTGTTGTTTAGTTTAAAAGGAGTCTCTGCCTTATTTGGGGATCAAATATGGATTCTTTTACAGTTCACGTTCAAAACACGTTTCATTATATATTCTAGTTCAGTGTAAACCTAAGCAGTCTAAGCAGCAGACTCAAATGGCTCTAGTAGGCTGCAATAGTATTTGCAACATCTTGTAATAGGTTTTTGCATATCTTGCCACAAGGTGTAGATGGGGTGACAGGAGGTTAACATTGAGAGAAATTAGCTTGTGACCAAAATGTCACCCATTTAAATCCTTCAAGCTGCCGCAGAAATCTTTTTGGTACACTAGAATAGAAAGGTTTTCACCTCCCTCATCAACTACAGTAAAAACAGCCTGGGGCGAAGCAGTCAAACCACAGTTTCTTTACTGGAGCAGCTCAGTGGTCACAAGTCACTAATCTTTGGTTGTTACAGTACGGCTCTCTGGCTGGAAATCATCTGTGTAACTCTCCCTTAAACTATCTGGCTAAATGAATGCTTAAAAAGAAAAAAAATTTTTTTTATTTAACTGGTTTTTCACATACAAACATACAACAAGTTGACTTTTATATACTTTTTTACTATATGGAGACATCAAATTAAAAGTAAACAATGTTTGATCTTAATATATATTTTTTTGCAATAACTAATTAGCACACTGGTGAATGATGAGTGATGAAAGAGGCTTAGAGGTTTTTAAGGTATAGATGTTTTATTGAATCCACAATAGTATGGGTTTAATTATAAGCAGCAATATGTGCAATCTGTCATCTGCGTAAAACACCACTAGCAATACTTCAAAAAGGTCCTTGAAAAACTGAAAGGGCTTTGACAATGTATCACTCTTCCACCACTTAAAAAGAAGAAAAAAGAAAAGTATTCATCTGTAGAAATCAAGCTGTCCTTTGTCGGAGTTCACTTATGAATGTGGACATTTAAAAGAGGCATCTTTATCATCTTTAACCCATATTTTTCTAGTTTACTTTTCTTTGTACTTTGTCTCACATACCATTGTAATTGTGGGTCCTGATCAAGACAAAGCCATGACAGAATTTGTTGTATAGTGCGTATTCATATAATTTATGACAATCATTTATGATTTATGATTCGTTCATGTATTTTTGTGGGACTAAAAGAACTGTATGCTATGAAAAACTATGTTCAAGCTATTCAATATAAATATATTTAATAATCTACCTATTGAGTCTATTGACTCATAATTGATTTAAGAATTCTCCAGCCATAATTTTAAATGGGCTCTCGAGGACAAGGAGTAGAAGAATTTAGGCTTTTATCAACCTGAGACTGTTAATCCTCAGTAAGAGACCAAACCAATAGGGTACAGGAAGCAATTCATTCTAATAGACTTTATGCACTACATCCTCTCATCTAATCTCTCTCTCATTTTTTTATTTATTTATTTTTTAGCAGATTGCAATCGGCGTAATGAAAGTGGTGCAGAGCTTTAACAAACAAGTTTACAGGTGCATGTTTCTGCTAATACAAGAATGTGCACAGAGCTCTACACACAAACGCAAACATTCTTCCACTCTAATGGGTAACAAAAATGTGCAAGCAAGCACACATACGTACACACACACACACATGTACACACACACACACACAGACACACACACGCACTAATGGGATATCTCTTTAGCTAACCTCACTAGTGATGGCTCCAAAGCTGACAAGAAATTTCACTGGTGTAACAGCTGCAATCAGCACATAAATAGCACTGTCTACTCCCATTGTATCAAATCACAGCACTAGGAAAGTAAACCCCTGTGGGCCTGCAAACCCTTCTAAGCATTGAACAAACCTCAATGGAAGCTTTCACGCTTGGTTATGTGCCTGTTTGTTTAATTAATTTACAGTGAAATAAAGTTTTTTTGGAGATGAAATGTAGAAAAGCCCTACTGTATGCTGGTCATTAAGTCTGAGCTGTCTGCACGTTTCTCCAGGTAGGGTTTGTACATAGTAGGTTAGGTTAATAGATAGGGCATACATAGTTAAAACATAAGTCAGGTAGACCAGAGACTGGGTTTAAATAAAACAGTGGGTCTATACCAGGGGTCGGCAACCAGCGGCCTCTTTAGTCTTTATTTTGCGGCTCCGGGTGGTTTGGGAAATAAATTAGAAGTATTTAGCTGAAGTGTATTTTATTTGTTTTTAGGTTTTTTTTAACTTGTAGTTCTAAATTGGAAGATTATTGTGATTTTGAAATATAAAAATAAAATTATATCTTATTATTTTTTCATAGCTCAAAATAAGCGTCACACTCGCCCCGATTTGCAGACGCTGTGCGCAGAGGTTCGGGACCATAAGTCTTATTGTAAACATATCAC